AAAGGCGTAGGCAGACAGTAAATATTTATTCTTCTGCTGGCCACAGCAATTATCAGAATAGAATATAACATTTAAATCTTTTCCTGCATTTTCAGCTATCAGTGTTTCAATATAGTTAATAACACAGCTTCCAATTTCTGTAGAACCTCGTTTTCCCTCTGTCTCATCTCAGAAATAACAAATTATATTTTTTGCTTTTAAATCACTGACCGTGAAATTAAAACAGTTTATCCTAGAGTTATAAAAAAATAAGGATACCTGTCCTTTAGGCACTTGCATTACTGCTTGCAGATCATATACAGCTACTTTAACATCAGTTCTTTTTTTATCATTATCCTTTTCTATCCTTGCTAATTCTTTTTCTATAAGATGTTGTTCATAGTTTTCTTGTAGTTTCTGCTTGCCATTTTCATCTGAATTACTGTAGCTTTCACATAGATCGCAAAGATCCTTTTTCGGTGTGAAGAATGAGATATTGAATTCTGTATTAAAGATCCGATTAAATGTTGACGCTGTAGCAATTGGTAAGTTGTCTCTTTGACGAATTTCTTTATAGTCTATACAATTCGGCTAGACATTTATCACTTTGTATGTATTCACGTGAAGTTTGCGCTCGAATGTAATGCGATTCAATACGTGGTTAAAAAAAATATCAACAGTATGTTGATAAAATTTTTCACACTTTCTCTAACGTCGGGATCAATTGTTGGATGCTTACCATGCTTACCCCTCAATTCTCCTTCTACAAAGCCAGAGTTAGATTTTTTTGATAACGCTGTTTTTATTGGTCTGTAATTTAAATCTAGTGTGACTTTAAAAAAAATTTTACATACTCGAATACGCGAGCCTTCTACATCAAAGTAGAACGCTGTATTAAGAGCACGAAAGTTTTGCGTATTTGAGTATCTATACTTAGGTTTAATCTCTTGTGTCTGCCTTAAAATAAATTCTCTTTGTGCCTGCAAATTAACAGAACCCCAATAATTATTAAATAGCATTTGTCTTGTAGCTTCATTTATTTTTGAACTGCATTTAAGGCGCCAGTTTTCTCCACGAGATGTGCGGACTTCTTTCCCTGACACTTGTTTCTTTAGTTTCGACATGGACACATAAGGCTTCCCAGAATTTCTCAGTTTTTTTGCGACATTTACTTTCCATGTTCTTCCTTGTTCTTTTCTTGCCTTTTATTTCTTCAGCTACAATATCGTTATTTTGGTCCTCCTCAGATGAACTATCGGAGCTAGAAGAAGAAGAACGACTGCTGCTACTGGAAGAAGAAGAAGAATCGGACTTGTTCGGTAAAGTCGTTTTATTTGGAGATATTATATTAAAATGTGGATCAGCATCGGAATCATCGATGTCACTCTGGTCACTGTGTATGGGCGAAATGTAATAATTTATATCTTTTTGTTTAATTTCAGCAGATTTGGAAGTACTTGGGATAGCCACATCGATGGGATTGCTCATTTTATTAGAGATTGAAGAAGTTATCTCTTCAGACATAGAAGACTAAACTGTAGTATCTGAACTGCCTGATATAGAATTGAGTAAATTGTCTTTAACCGTTTCATTTGGTGGACTATTTTGTTTGATTTGGTCATTATGAGATTCTATGTTAGCAAGTAGGTTTTCCTTGTTGCTACGTACTGCTATATCCACAAAGAAACGTCCTCGGTTCATCATCTTACTGAAATAAAAATTATAATTCCATCAGACCATCAAAAGTGAATTAACTAAAAAAAAAAACGTTCTACTAACGGCATAACTTATAATTTTTGTAAAATAATTAACAATAAATATAAAATTATCAATTTGCATCATGTGTTCTATCTCTAAAAATAAATTAAAAAGCCCATATGATTTAAACAACGATCTAAATTTAATATTGATTGAGGAATCTTCTAGAAAATTGATATTAAAGTCTCCACATATTACAACAGATTTATTCTGTTTATTAAGCTTAGCAAAAACTTCCTCCATAATTTTTTCAAAAGTATCGTATATAGAACATGGGGGTCCGTAGACGCTCACAACAGAGGTGCTCAAACTCAACACATGCCATTTCTACAGTTCGCTCAACAGAGAGGCTCACAATATCTTTACGTTCTTTACATGACAATAATTTACTAGCTAATATTAAGGAGCCACCTCTTAAAACCGTTTCTCTATTGAAAAAACTGACCACCTGGTGATTACTGAAGTTAAACATTAAGTTATAAGCTTTTAACCAATGTTCAGTAATACATAAAATATGAATATTGTTGCTATTTAAGAACAACTCAATTTCTAGCTCTTTTCCTATCATGCCTTGTATATTTTGATGCACCAGGTGTAAACAATTTTCATTATTACTCTGTGGAGTCATACAATTAAAGATTTGTAAGCTAAATTCTAAATTATTTAAATTATTACAACTCCTAGAGATTACCTCTATTGTTTCATTTTCTTTTTATTTTCTTACTATTTAAATTACTTGGAACTGATTCCAAATTACATATTAAGTCATTATACTGCTCAAAAGGAGCAGATGTCTGTATAGCCAAGTCCTTGGCTGAGTTAATATGTAAACAATATAAGATAGCACATTTGCTATCTGTCTTAAAATATATTTAGATAGGTAATAGCTATCTCTAGTCAAAAATTTCTTAATTAAATTATTTATGTCTATTAAATTACATTTATTATTATAATTATAACAATGGAATGTCAAGTTGAAATTATTATTACATGAAAAGTTATTCATTAATAAATTTAAATCATATCTTATTTTATTTTCCTGCGGCCAACCCTGTATGTAAGGCAATGTAAACAAGATAATTTTATGTACATTTAAAGTATTTAGATTATCAATATATTTTAATAATTGATTTTTGTTTACATTGCCTCTTCTCCCAACAAGAATTATTAATGTGCTATTAGGGCAAAATTTACTAGCTAAAACTTTATTCATTATATGACTAAAGGTTGCTCCTGGCATGCAATAATTAGTGATCATATGTACTTTTAAACAGTTATTTAACATCATGCCCAAATTTTTGCCTATGTCATCACAATACATAATAACTTTATTTTTTTTTAATATTTACATTGCTTTTTAAGTTTATATCCTTTGTCATGGCACTGTCATAGAGTGTAGGTGAAAATAATGAGTCCTTACTGTTTACTTTGTTATTTACACATATTGTCCCCGATGAACCTGGTATGGAGCGCTGACACTCACTCTGTTGTTTTATTAAGGAGTCAAAGCGCTCCTCATTATATTTACATGATTTTACCCGATCATTCATGGCCAATATGTGTTCTTTTATCTCATCTTGAAGTCACTGACACCCTAAAAAGTTTGCCATCCAAAGACATCACACTTCTAATTGGCGATTTAAATGCAAAAGTAGGAAATACTGCAAATGATAATCACCTTAGGGAGGTAATCGGAAGATATGGACTTGGAGATAGGAATGAAAGAGGTGAAATGTTGTTACAATTCTGCACTGAAAACTCGCTCACAATCATGAACACCTGTTTTAATAACCACCCGAGGAGACTGTATACGTGGGTAATTCCAGGAGACAGAGCGCGGAATCAGATAGACTACATCGCGATCGCAAAAAGATGGAGATCATGCATTTCCAATACTAAAACCTACCCCGGCTGATTGTGGGAGTGATCACGAATTGCTAGTGGCAGAATTAACACTCAAGCTAAAAAAGTGCTCGATTGATACAGAAACCACAAAGAAGACCCGATCGAGGCGAGCTTTCTTTATTTAGCCAAATTGTAGAGCGACGAATCGCTGATTTCACCACAGATTACAGTATTGACGTTGATCAGAATTGGAATAGAATGAAAGAGATCATACTGTCATCACGTAAGGAAAGCAAAAGGGTAATGGTAGATGCTCCAAGCAAAGTATGGATTACAGAGGAAACTTGGGAAGCTATCAAACAGAGAAAGGAGTTACTAAAGGGCAATCTGGAGTCTAATCAGGGATCAAAACAATATTAGGAGCTTTCGGCGTAAGTACAACGCTTGTGTCGTAGGGATTATGATAATTACCTTAATTTTATCTGTCAAGATATTGAAGATCATGCTCAAAATTTTCATACTAGAGACCTGTTTCTAAAAATAAAAAGTATAACACGGAGCTGAAACCAAGAACCTGGGCCATCGAAAGTGGTACAGGCACACTGCTGACAGAGGTTGATCAAGTGACAAAAAGATGGCGACCATACAGTGAGAGCCTCCTATACGCACATCCTGCAATGCCATCTGTAAGAACGCTAGGCGAATTAGAAGACCATTATAAGGAACTCGAGATTCTAGAGTCTGAAATGAGAGGTGCACTACGTAAACTAAAGCATAATAAAGCAGCAGGAGGAGATAATATTTTTGCTGAAAAGCTAAAGCACATTGGAGAACAAGGCATTAAAATAATTCGTGATCTATGCAATCTCGTATGGAATACAGGAGTTTGGCCCACTGATTGGAAAAAATCACTAGTGATTCCATTACACAAAAAAGGATCAACGAGAATATGTGGGAATTATCGCACGGTGGCTCTGATATCTCATGCGAGCAAGATAATGCTGTATATACTCAATAGTAGATTACGATCCTATCTACAGTGGCAAATACCCAGTGAATAGGCGGGATTTGTTAACCCTAGAATACTAATCATATTTTTTATACGGAAATACTTATTATTAGTCGTTTCGACTAACACCTATATAAACCTACTTAATAATAGTTATATAGTATAAATACATATATATTATTTGTTATTTTAATTATTGGTTTATTTTATCTTCTTCAAAATAAAAAGCAAAGTTAGTTTAAAGTATTTATTAAGTAATCCACACAGTTAAAGTATTTATGAATTATTTTAGTGAGATCCAAACATCAGTCTCATTAACTTTAAAAAAATAATAATAAAAACCTTTAACCTCCTCTAAATAAACTTAAATGTTATAGAATAGTTTTATGAATACATAAAAAAAATATTATTAGTTTTTATTGCAGTTGACACATATTTCAACTTTATGTTCGCTGCATATATTTTTGGTGCACTTTGAGCACATAGATTTGGTCATGCGATGTTTTTTATACGGACAATAGCTACAAATCTTCCTTTTTTTCAATCCAGAAGCTTCATTTGAACTAGTGTTACTTTCTCCTGAACTATCTGGAACCAAGTCTTGAATGTTAGCTTTTAATTTTTTATGCAATGTCGGCTTAGTTAGACGTCTCTCCATGTAAGGATTAACAAGGGCTGTATGCAATTCTTTCATGAATTGTTTTCGATTTAAAGGTTTTTCATTGTCATTTAGTTTATTTTCACAATAAATAACGTAGCTGTTTATAAAAGTCATGTTCAACATCCCATAAAAGATGCACATAGGCCATCGATTCGTCTTCCGGCTACAGGACATGTTTGCAGACATTTGGTCAAACGTGTCGACTCCGCCTTTCGTTTGGTTATAAAATTCAACCATATGTGGCTTCTTAGTTTCCTGGTTGACAGTTCCTTCTTCTGAACAGGATGATAACAAATAAACGATCTTGTTAGGTTTTGGTTTGTATGATAGCAGGGTCAAAGGACCAACATAGCAAAACATTGATGTCCCTATAGGTCTAGTTCTGGTGTTAAACATCTCATTGGGTATTTCTTTTTTATTAGAACGCAAGGTACCCACTACAGTTAATTTATATGGCTCGCAAAGTAGTGACTTAGTTAGAGGAATGGACGTAAACCAATTGTCAGTTGTGATGTTTCGGTTTGAACCATGAAGAGGTCGGGTAAGCTCTTTTACAAAGTACTCGCCTAGAGGCAGTCCCCCGGTATCAGTGGCTTTTCCTATAAATGGTATGGCGTTGATCATATATTTTGACCCATTATCACTCATCATAACTATTTTCAATCCTTACTTTGCGGGTTTATTGGGGATGTACATCCTGAATGGGCACCGGCCTCTGAAGGCTAACAATTGTTCGTCGATAGTTATGTACATGCCAGGGTGGTAATTTGGATATATGTACAATCTTAGAGCTTGAAGTTCTATTGGACTGGGGCCTTACGGTAGACCAAACATACCTATTTCTCCCGCGTAAAACTCTCTGAGAAAAGGGGATGATATTTGAACGAAGAGAAGAATTGTTACTCTCCTGGGCTGTACTCTCCTGTGTTGTCGAAGTCTCCTCGGATATTATAGATGAATCTGGGTTAGATACATTGGATGATATTGCCTCAGTTGGCCTATCTTCTTCATCCATTTGTTCCAGCTGTTCGATCTCTAACTGGTCCTCTGTCTCACTTCCAGCAGATTCCACATCACCATCACTGTCCTCATCATTCAAATATCTCGCCAACTCTTCGTCCGTATAATTACGTGTGTTACTGGGTCGTGAAGAAGTCATTTTTTAATCTAAAATGAAACAAAATACGATAAACAAACGAATAATTCACGATAATAATACAAAGACATTTATCGCAAAAGTTACATAAATACTAATCATTAGTCATACCGACTAACAAAAACGAATTATTTCCAAAATGGCTGTACTTACCGGCTCGACACAGTTACTCCCGTAAACGTCCGACCGGCGACTGAGTTTACACGAATGATCAAGTCGCGCGGCGCGTTCATTAGAAAGAGACAGCAAGATTTGGGTGCAGTGTTAGTCGAATCGACTAACATTAGTATACTAGGGTTAAAGGACGGGGCACAAGAGAACAGATCGTGAATGTAAGGCAAATAAAAGCCGGGAGTTCAATACACCTGTGTTCATGTGCTTCATTGACTACTCTAAAGCATTTGACTGTGTAAGACGGAACTGTTTATGGGACATACTCCGGGAAATGGGCGTACCTCAACATCTCATAGTTAAAAGATTAGTCAAATTAAAAATAAAGGCTGGAAATAAAGCTTAGAAATGGGAATATAAAAAAAATCTTATTTATTTTTTACTTCGAGTTTTACAAGAAATGTATAGTACTCACTGGAGACAATTATTTTATATTATAATACTCGTAGTACATGATATTCACTTTAAAATGACACCAATATTAACCCGGCGGTACTCGCTAGGTGTTTACATGCACGAATACTCGCTACCGGGTAAAAAATACCACATAATTTAAATGACATTATCTTGGAAAAATAAGTTTGCATTACAAACTTTAATGGTGTATTTAGTTTATTAATACTAATGTCTAATAAATAAAAGAAAATTAAAAGTTTGAATTATTATTTATTTCAAATTATAGCTTATCCTAAAAAAAATACAAATTCTAACAAAAATTCTTCATAGTCTTAGAAAAATCAACAAAACAATTTTTTTCTTAGGTATCACGTAAAATTGAGATCAAAAATTATAAAACGACCTTATACACTACCAAAACAACAAAAAATAAAATACTGTTTATATTAAATGAACATCGAGAAAATAATCGTCAAACATTATGTTTCAAAAAACTTGTACCTAATCTAACTATTTTGCTTTGACATAACAATCGCCACAAATTGGGGTCGTATGCTCACGGCATATTCTTTTGGAACACAATTTACAAGACGTCTTAGTTTTTCGGTCCTTCTTCCATTCACATACTGCACAACGGGAAGCAGATGTGGACGGTCGCAAAGCTGAGGGTGTGCTTGTGTGCGTGGCTTCGTCATTCGAGTCAGCATTGAGCATACAATCAATTTTTGTTTTGATAATTTTTGGCAAATTAGCTACTGTTGACCTCTTTTTTATCTGTGGCATCACAAGGGCCAAAGCCAGTTCTTTCAAAGCGATCCTTCTCTGAGCCATCACAGCTCCACTATTTACTTTATTTGCCTTCACTATCACGTACGCATTGATGCCGCCGACGTTCAAAAGACCATAAAACAAAACCAATGGCCATCTTTTGGTAGCTCGTGCTACTGAGTAGGTAGCACACATCTCATCCACAACATCGACGCCACATTTTGTTCTATTATAGTCCATGATCATCTCGGGCTTTTTTTCTTCTCCAGAATCTTTTTTGCCATCATGGTGCATAGTTGACGCCAAGAGCACGACTTTATTTTTCTTTGGAACATAAGACACAACAGTACAATTATCTTGAAATCCAAAAAGGGAACTGTGTACTTCCCGGTCTTTGGTTGAGGTAAATACAAGTGGAATTTCAGCTTTATTCTTTCTCAAAGTACCCAATGCTGTCAAACCATAATCATTGAGCAAATCACGTAATAGCGGAAAACTAGTGAACCAATTGTCCATCACTATGTTACGATGACTATTCTTTATAGGTTCTACTTTACACTTGGTGAATTACTGTGATCATAAGGCCCATCATTTTTGCCAACATAAATTTCCATATTATTTGTATAGAAGGTTCGTGCGTCAGTCAACACAAATATCTTTATACCGTATTTACCGGGTTTGCTGGGTATGTATTGCCGAAATGGACAACGGCCGCGAGTCTTCTCCAACTTTTCATCGATTGTTACATTTTCGCCGACAGCATAATATTTTTTTATATTATTATTGAACTCTTCGAAAATCTCGCGAATGGGTGCTAGCTTATCTGTTTGCCTTCTTTCACCTCGTCTACGAATATTGTCAAACCGTAAACTCCGCAGTAAGAAATGTAACCTTTCTCGTGACATTGTGGCTATACAGACGTCGGAACCACTTCCATCTTTTTCCCAGAGATCTTTTGTGTTCAGATGACCACTTCGCAATCTTCCGCAGAAATAAAGTAATCCAAAAAGAGCTCTAAGTTCAACGATATCTGTACTTTTACAATCGCGTTCTCTTGAGAATTTAGACTTTAGCTCTTCTATATAAATGTTAGTATACTGGACTATCTTTAGTAAACACGTTTCCGGAAAAACAAGATTCCAGGCTTCTAACATAGATGAACAAGATCTGCCTTCGCCAATCGGTCCCGGCAAATGATATATAATGTTATGGGATCTTGTTCGTACACGTCGCGGCGGCTCACGAACTTGCCAGCGAGTTCTTTTGTCTTTTCCAGTAAAACGACCTCGCCTCAAGTACTTAAGCGGTACATCCTCTAAATATTCTTCATCTTCAGTATTCTCAATTTGTAAATTCGAAGGAAAACTCTCTTCCGACACTGAAGACCCATCTGAATCACTTGCTTCTTGCTCTGTTCCGCTTTCATGATCACTATGCTCCTCAAAATCTTCTATTTCTGACACAATATCTTCTTCACTATCTTCTTGTTCTAGACATTCTTCTATAATTCGATCCGTCAGTAGGGAACTCATCATGAACCAGCTCTAAAACAAAATAATAACATAAAAAAAACCACCAATAACATAAAAAAAATGTAACAAGAACCGTCGCTACCGGGTATTTTTCACCCATACTCACTTTAAACGTCCGTTGTCGCCAAGCGCCGCGCGCGAACTGGCCGCCCGGTGACGCACGCGCGTGTTAACTATTGGCCAGAAGGTACTTAAAGTCGTGAGTTGCCACCATGTTTAGTAATAAAAATATCACGTGATTTAGGTACTCTGTGGTATTTTTTACCCAGCAGCGAGTACCGCCGGGTTAATAATATCTTACATACTCAATATATATAAGTATACACGGTGTAACATGAGGGGTGGATCATCGGTTGCTAGGGGTGGAAGACCTCAATACCTATCGATTTAACCCCCCAATGTGTAATGCAATATTCAGTGGTTCAAAAGTTATTTGGATTTTAGTAAAAATTTTCTCAAAATCCGATTTTAGCCTAAACTTCGCATTTGCAACCAAACTTTTAGATCTGCGACCGTGATTTTTTTTCAAACAAGATTTACAGAGGGTCTTTTGTACCTTTACATCAAACAGAGGCTTAAATCATTTTTTTTTAGTACCGTGAAACCTTACATCTTTGCCCACATATTTCGGTTTTTATTACTTTTTTCAAAAAATATCCACTTTATTTTGATGGTTGCTGAAGCATTAAACGACACTCTATGCAACAAATAACCTGTCAAATCCAGGTGACCTAATTCCTAACAGATGCTGAGAAAAAAACAAAAACAGACGCGGGCAAAGTTATCTCCACTTTCTTACATCTTTGCTCAACCTAAATTTCTCACCAACTATAAGCTCTATGATTTTGATTTTAAGATATATTGTTAGCAAACCGGCAAAATTGTATACTATTACATTTTCAAATAAATAGAAGTCCATTTTAGGTTTTAATGGAGGTGGGCAATGTTATCACCACATTTAGTCATGCTTTCATACTAAGAGATTTGAGGTGCTAGGGCTGTACATCAGATGAAAGGAAAATAATAAACTGATATTGAGGCAATAATGTATTTTTTATTTTTAAAATTAAAAACAACAACTAACTGAACAACAACAAAAATCAAGAAAATCAATGTTTAGGTAGGTAACGTACCTATTAAATATTAATAAAAAAAAAAAACAAATAGGTCTCCGCTAACGCAAGCGTGCCTATTAGTTACCTTCGTGAGTATTAGTTTTTAAGAAAAGATAGGTAAGCAGCGCAGAAATTTTTTATCACACGCACGCAAGGGAGATTACCGTTCCTCATACAAAAAAAAAAACAAAATATTTCTTCTAGAACAAAAAATTAACAATAGCAGCCTAAAACATTATCCTTATAGTGCTAAATTTCAAGAAATATCTTCTGAAATTGAAAAATTAAATAAAAATTACTAACAGTCTTTGATGTTACCCTTACGATTCTAGCTAATAATTATAGGTATAAGTATATATACTTATACCTATAATTACTAACCACACATTACACTTCTCATCAGAAAAATCGATACACCTCACAAGTTTATGTTTTTAAAGATTATCAAAAAAATAGTTTTAACGTATAATATCATTTTATTATAATAAAATTAATGTTCACATTCTGCTTATTTAAAAATACAAAAATTTATTATTTATTCCTAAATATACACATTTTTCAGATAATCATTACAAGGCATAAACTCGTGGGGTGATTCGATTTTTATGATGAGAAGTTTAAAAAATTAAACACGATGGAACTTAGTTCTAGCACTAGAACTATGGCACAAGAATCACAGATTAATATAATACACATTTGCACATAATTAGAAATAAATCTTATTCGAAATCAACATTGTTGTACCTATTGTAAATAAATTTTAGGTGTACGTAATAAAAATATTTAAAAATAAGGTTTTTACCTTTTACTTTACCTACCTACATTATATTGTGATAAGATAAGTGAGATCTAATAATCAAAATATAAATAGTCATCATCATCATCTAGAACAAACTCTGTTTCATTGGTATTAATTGTAAGTAAATTCACGGTTTTGACAATATTCTTACAATCAATTATTTCTACTTCTTGTTTTTTGGTTTTTATAAACTTGGTATTGTCGTTTCTACCGGTTCGTCTGAAAAATAATGCATTTACTCTATCATTTCCTACTTTTGCTATGACTTTACCGACAAAATAATCAACCTTTTTCTTAAAAAAGTATCTGACTAATATAATATCCCCAACAGCATAATTGATATTAGAACAAGCTTCACTTAAATGGTCGTCGTAGCTCGATGAAGGTTTTTCTGTTTCCGTTGCTATTGTTGTTTTATTATCTTTCATTGACTCTGTTTTAGGCTGTTTTGTATTTAAACTTTGAATGTCTTTGTCGGACTTATCAGATTCTATATTACAGATATCTGAATCACTGTGAGTACTAATGTTGATATCACTATTACTTGTTTCACTTATATTTCTCTTGTATGTTCTGCGGGCTGGTTTTGTCTTTGGTTCAATGGTTGATTTGTTGCTTTTTCTTTTTTTTTTTTTTGGTTGATTAGTTATTTTCTTTCCCGACTTTCGATTGGTGTTTTGTTTTGTATCTGCACATTTATTTATTTCGTTATTTAAATCAGTATGTTTAAAAGTTTTGTTTTCTTTGCCATTATTTTTGCCAGTCTCCAAAATAACTTTAGTTTCATTCGTAGAAGTATTTACTGCGGTTAAAATATTTTGTTTTGAGTCTTGTAGCTTTTCGTGATGTTTATTATTTTTGTACTTTTTTATATTTAAATTGTTTGCATTTAATTCTTCTCTCTTCTCATTTAAGTCTATAATTTGTTGTGTGCTACCATAATCAGATGTGCTACGACGTGGTAAAATATTTACAATGTTAGGGCAAATGTTGTCAGATGCAATCTTGGTGTCATTTTTAAATGTTCTTGTTTTTTTAGGTCCTATCACAGTTTCAGTGTACATGCCTTTAGATGAGTTTAACTTTATTTTATCTCGCAATACTGGTTTGTTATTTATAACTTGCTTCACTCGGGTAGCTATTGTATATTGAAGAACTCCAGTTTTCTTATTTAGAATGCATCTTGATACATTCTCTTGCTCTTGGTATTCAGACTCGACAGTAAATTTATGGGTGTTATCATTGAATATGTCGTCACTGTCATTGATGGCTATTATCTTACCATTTTTATCCAAAGTGCAACTTGTTTCGACTTTGTTTTCATTGTGTACTGGCTCATCATTAATTTCATTAATTTCGTCAAAGTTATTAGTGTCTATTATCACAGTTTTTTCATCTAAGATGCACTTTGTTACAGTTTCACCCTTTTTGCTGTCCGATACCTCAAGTTTATCAATTTTATAAAAGTCACATGTCAGATTTAACAGTATATTGCTATCATTCAAAATATCTTCTTCCAAATAATTATAGATATCAGCGGTTTCATCTTTATCGTTTATTGGCTGTCCAATAGCTGTATTGTCTAAAAAGAGGTCAAATACGGGATCATTATTTTCTGGATTATCTTGATTTGTAATAGAAGTCTTATTTTTTGTTGTTTTTGATTTTTTCGCTCCAACTCCATTGCTTTTTTTAGAGGTCTGAGTCTCTGTAACTTCTTGATTTGAACAACTCAACAAACCGAAATCGCTTATTGAAACAGACTTGCCAGGCTCTACTGAAACTTTTTTATTGCGTTTTACACTCACTGCTTTCGGTTGTCTACACTTTTGCAAGTAATTTAATAAGGCGTTATCAACTGTGTAATTTCCAAGTTCTTCAGCATATTCCGGCAGCCGTTTGAGCACTTCACGTGGATTTAAAGGACAAATTCCGGTAGCTTTGAATCCACTTTTGATATTGTTGGTTCTGGTAAAGTCTATTGCGTTAATCAAAGACGTCAACAACTTCGGGAAATGATTTTTATTTAAAGATGTTTGATTGGGATTTTCCATTTTGTACTGCAGCAAAATTTTCCGCCACGCTTTCTTAAGCGGAGCAAAGAAAGCCACGTCTAAGGGTTGGGTAAGATGCGTGGAGTTGGCAGGAATGAAAACAAAAGATATGTTATGCTCTTCGCAAAGTTTGATAATGTCCACATTTAGATGACTTGATAGGTTATCACATATGACCACCTTTTTTCCCGGCAAACCTTCCGACCATTTTAAAACTATTGTCTTGAAGTAGTCCTCAAAAGTGGACGAATCGAACCACCCCGATTTAGTGCGGTTATATCTTGCGCCTCGTGGACCGCCTGTTATCCATTCAGAATAAATATTTTCTGATTTATACACAACATATGGTGGTAGGTTCGTTCCGTCTGCGCTTGCCGAAAACATCAATGAAATGGCTCCTTTCGTTGAATTTAATACCCTTTCAGGGTACTTTACCCCTCTACGAAAAATGCATTTCGATGATCCGGGATCATCACTTAAATTTGTTTCATCCAAGTTTAATATGTTTGACGGGGGAACGTCTTTCATAGTTTCTTCTAAATTTTTGAAATAATCTAAAAATTCTTCAACACTTTTTTCGGCTCTTGCTTTTTTTATATTTTAGCAAGATCTTACTGTTAGTTCTGAAGCATTTCGTTCTAAAAAACTTGAAATCCATTGTTTTCCTGGTAGATTTCCATGAAAAATTGCCTCACGCCCATTTTTTTTCAAATATTCGTATACGATTATTCGTAAGTCAAGCTTTGATAATGGACAACCAAAGGCACCAGTTGCGACTGCCACTTTTACTATATTCTTCTCTTCTTCCTCAGTAAGTCGCGTTGGAGCTCCTATTTTTTTTTGGTGCAGCTCTTGAACTTTGTTCAGAAGGGTCCGTCTCGGTATACCAAAATGTTTTTCAGCCTCTCTCGATGAAATTTTTTTATTTTTAACGTACCCAACTGCGAGATCTAACATGTCATCATTATAATTTTTGTAATACCTGGCACCGAGGCGTCTTCGGCTTTGCCTTTTAGGTTTCACCATCCTGCAAATAAATAGAATAGTACTAGGTAAGTACTTCTAAAAAATTATCTCAGAAATCAACCCTGATAGTTGAGGTAAGGAAAAGTAGACGCCGACGATACTTATTTAATATAATATGAGGCCAGCTTATACTGATTTTGTTACCACTGATGTGCGTGGCTCACCTATTATGCGTACCAATCAATTTTGCCGGCCATTTTTGCCTGCGATCGTTAATGTCTGTCGTTGAGGAGAAAATTGTCTTTCAGACTTTTTTTTTGCAAACGAATTGCCGCATAAATCTTATTTAAAACTTTAGTTTGAAGCTGAGAATATTTAAGCTCTCTCTTTTGGGAAACTAGCGGTTTCTGACAAAAATTCCCCACAAATGTATACCTATTTATTATATTTAACATATATAAAACAGTATCTAGTTACCTATATAGTTATCAGAACGGTAGTTTACTTTGCAGTTAATATATATATATATATATATATATATATATATAATTTTATTATATTATTTTTATATAAAAATTAATATAGTATATTAAATAAAATTATATATAATAAATTGTAAATATATAGGTATAAAAAAAAACAATTAACAATAACTACTGTTAACTTCAAACTAAACTACTGTATAGGTAAATATATAGATAACAGTATAGGTAAATAGATACTGTTTTATATATATATATTTTACAAAAATAATAGACAAGAAAAAAACAACATGCTTCCTTGTTTTTTTTTTGTCAATAGTGTCAACCCTAATAACATTTTTGAGCTGGGCAATGTTGTCGACCTCAGTCTATAAAATTGCTTACAACATTGCCCACACAATTTTCTCGCTAACTAAGACAAGTGTAAGAAAAAGACCATGATTAAAAGCAGCAACAATTAATGCCCTACACGTAAATAATAATGAATCTTACCTGCGCAGCGTTTCTTGTCAATGCGGGATGTAAAACTGCAACAATGTTTTTGCACCACCTTCGACACTGTCACTTTGACGGTTGATGACGGATGACTGAATAAACTTAGCTGCGATTGCAGTAGTCAGAGTTGCCAAACAGATATTCTAGTTTTCCTTAGACACCATACAAAGTTACCATTTGTTAAAATAAAATTTCTATCGGTAGTTTTAGTTAATTTTCGTGTTTGGGCAAAGATGTCCCCCAAGGGCAAAGTTGTAAGGTTTCACCGTAAACTTTAAATTGAAGAAAAAATGTCGATTATTGGCATATGGACTATTTATGTATATTTTTCAACACGATGAATTTCTCACACAAACAATAATGGCGAAATTTAATTTTAACTTTTTTTTCTAAATATTTTGTTACTATTATACAGATAAAATTCACTTTCACAGATGACAAATTTCATATAACACCATCTATAATTTTTTACTGTATTAATAACAGCCATCTTTTGCGCTGTACACGTTTAAACCGAAAGATATCGTTTGGTGGCCATAGTCGTCATGGACAGGTGAGGCAATAATTGTTTTTGGGGACTGTAGTCACCGAAGACGGTTGAGTAGATAAGATGACTGCTCCAACGGAAGGCCTGACAATTTGGTAATCGGTCGTTTTATATGACTTGTTTTAGTTGTCAGAATGACGACTCGTACCCGGCCGTCCGCACCTGGGTGAGTTTCTAATACCCCTCCCAGGATCCATTTGGCAGGAGGAATGTTGTCTTCTCTGATGATGACGACTTCTTCAACTTCTAAGTTTTTATAGGAAAGAGCCATTTGCTTCGAGTTTGGAGAGTTTGGAGATAGTCGGGGGACCACTTTCTCCAGAAGTCCTTGTACATTATTTCCGTAAGTTGCCATCTTGCAGTGCAGGTCATGTCATTACCCTCAGCGGATAGTGGTAGTTCAAGAAAAGGCTCGCTGATCAGGAAGTGAGCCGGTGTCAAGCAGTCAAGGTCTTCGATATTCTCTGACAACGCCACCAGTGGGCGAGAGTTGATCCATACTTCAACCTGTGCCAAAAGTGTGGAAAATTCCTCGAACGTAAGTTTTTGATTTCCAAGTACTTGTTTGAGGTAATGTTTCAGGCTTTTGACTGCAGCTTCGTAGAGTCCACCAGCAGTAGGCCAGGAAGGAGCGTTAAAATGCCATTCAATGCCCCACCCTAACAGGTTAGTTAGGACGTGATTGGTTACGTAGCATTCTAATGCCTCCTTTCGTTGTTTTTCCAATGTCAAAAACATTGGCAAAACAAACTGCGTACACTACGAGTCAACTCAAAATAGTGGTAAACAAAACAAGATTAAATTACCAGTTTTAGGTTTTTTTTTATTATAGTTTTTAATATTGTATATACTAAAATATAAAAAAGTTTTGGTTTTATAAAAAAACAAGATGTCCTATTTTTACTTAAACCTTAAAGAAAGAAAGTTTCCCTCTAAATTTGTCTATGCTAACAATATAATAAGAGATCAATAAATAACGTATCAATGAGGTAAAGAGTCGTAGTAAGAAATGACGGCCTACAATTCTTGCAAATGTCGCCATTTACTTTCAGTTATTTTCATTGCGCTGTGGTAAAGATTTGGTCTACTGGGTAGGTTTTCAGGGATCATCAGCATCCTACGTCGAGTTATGCCGCGAGGCAACTCTTGATACTGTGCATCAATGTTTAATTTGTGATAATTCCACTAGAATTATATTGTAACACTCTTAAGTCTGTGACAGCAGAATCATTAGTTGTTCGACCTGACCGTATAGTCATAAACAAATGTATTCTTTTGAGTGTAGTCCTCAAAAAACTCGTAACTCAAATACTCAACTATATAAGGCTGCTTAGGCCTAGTTTCCTTGGAGAGTACTGCATACACTGAGAGGGCAGGAAGATCTTCTTATGTTTGGTTTTCTGCTCGATGGAACTGTGCACTGCGTCCCACTCCATTTGCGTATGGCCCGTTTCCAAGAACTTTTGTTCGATTATGATTTTTTTCTATTCATATTCATATGTAATTGCAAAAGTGCATTAGCAAGGAAAACATTCCTATTTTGTGCCGTACAGTCATCAGAATAAAGGATAATAGGAACACATTTTTGCTCTAAAGTTCTCAGTATGTGTATGATACATGATATGAATACGGAAGCCGTTAGACCAGCGTTGATATTTATATATCGATATATCGGTCAAGTACGCCGAAGCCGATATATCGATATTTCACCGATATTTTCCTTTTTTTTAAGGTTAATAAAACGAAAATTTGGAAATAAAAAATGTATTATTTTAATATATAATTTAAAAAAAAATTAATTCCAGTATTTTGTACCAGCTATTGAACTTAAAAATAATAACTTAGAAAGTCTGCTTCCATGTAGCCGGTTTCGGCTCTGGGTTATAGTAGCTCCTACCTTCGAAAAAAGACGTTCTGACGGAACACTTGTTGCTACAATCGGTAGATGACACATTGCCACTTTAAAAAGATTCGGATATACACCCTGCATCTCTTGCCATGTTTCAAGAACATTTACTTTTAAAGTATTTACAGGGGCAGAGAGATATAACGTGAGTTCATCGTCACCGTCAGTTTTTTTTCTTTTTATCTGCGTGTGAGCCAAAGATTTGTGGTACTTCCAAAAATCAAATTCAACTTTTTCTTCATCTTCTGAAGAAGTTGACGAAGCCGTTACGGCAGATTTATATTCTGAAATGAATTTTCTAATTCGAGACATTGCTTTCGCACAAGCTTCCGGTTTTTTTTAAATGCAAGTTCTTGAAACGCGGGTCTAGCAATGTAGAAACGGCTAACAACATGTTGTATTCAAGATGGCCGAAACGCTTTTCTATCTCCAGCGTTATATTTCTCTTCAATTCGTCAGCAATAGTCGAAGTCACCCCCAATTCCTTGTATTGGTCAATTGCACAACTCACCATGGGTACAATTTTAGAAATGGTGACGTAACGTTCGGCAGAAGCCTCTCTTGTCATAGCTTCCAGTGGACGCATAACATAAGCAACATCTTTTATAGTGTTGAGCTGAACTGCTGTCAACATTGTAGGTGCATCTATTTTACAAAAAATTATGTCACTTATATATGGCGCCAAATCCAAAAATCGTTCAAGCATATAGTACATGGAATTCCATCTCGTTCTTACATCAAGTATCACTTTAAGAGCTTTTTCATCGGGTATTTTACTTTCTATTTGCTTTCTTTTTAATTCCAATGTCATGTCTTGTCTCTTTTTTACGTATTTTACTATATTCCTAACATGCTCTATTATATCACTCAGTCCGGAAGTTTTTCTTATGGCTTAAGTTTTTCTGAGCAAAACATGGGATGTGTTTGTGTGCCCCAAACGTCTCTCTTATTGCTTTAACCATATTTGCACCAGAATCTGTAACGAAAGCCATAACTTTTTCAGTATCTATATTCCAACTTCTTAATATTCCTGTCAATTGTTGTCCAATGTACTCGCCAGTATGACTTTCTTCTAATTCGAAAACTCCAATAGTCACAGATTGTAATTCATTCTGTTGCAAAAAATGAACAGTAAGTCCCAGATAACCAGTGTTAGTCAATGTCTCTGTCCAAATGTCTGTAGTCAAACTAAAGTAATCCACATTTTTCAATTTATCCGCCACAAATTTTGATAATGTGTCATACTTTTTATCAATCTTTGCTTTAGTTGTTTCCCGACAAGGCACTTTATACAAAGGGGCTAGTTCCTTAATCAAATGTTGAAAACCTTTTCCTTCAACCGCATAAAACGGCCTGTTATCAACTGCAATAAAATACGCAATAGCATCTGTTATCCGATCGTATTTTGCACCACCTTTAGAATATTGATATACATTTTCAAAAGCCTGTTTTATTTTTGGAGTGTTTGCAGATGTATTAGGAGTAGCGGGCTTAGTTGTAGGGAACACAACCACAGCAGACGAACAAGAAGCTTCAACAGTATCAACTGACGTTTCAGGGGGTTTAGCACTTTCGTCCGATGTTTGAAGATTAACGCTGACTCCACTTCTAGACAAACTAGAAGAAGTACCACCACATTCAGTCAACTTACTGAAAAAGAAAAAAAAAACAACGATACTTATTTTTATTTTGCTAGACTAAATATATAATTGTTTTTGTCTTATACAACCATTTGCATGCTTAGGTATATTTTGTCAAAAAAAAGAATATATGCGTTTATATATTCGCGTTATGTATCCGCTTATACCGATATTGATATATTCAATCGTCGATAGTCCACATAATACTAAAGATAAAACGAATGATAACTTAAAAATTTGTTTTAAATATTTCCATCAAATGTAACCTAAATTATATTAAATTGTATATTCATAGTATTTTGTGTTTATTAACTGAGAAACTAGCGACATACCGTTGTGATTTATCCAAGGATTTATCGTCCACATCACAATCTTCTGGATGTTTGTGTTTCATATGTGATGCTAGATTGCTTGTATTTCCAGAAGTTTTAACTCGTTTGTTACAAATAGTGCAAATAACATTACCGTCTCCTTCTTTTTTGAAATAAGACCACAATTTACTTCTTTTCATATTTAAATTAGCAGTAAATAAATGCAAAAATAACAATCAATGACAGCTCAGCTCAGCCTACTCAAGTCTACCACAGCCACAGACTTACACACTTACCATAGATTAGAGAACAGAATCACTTTGTAACACAGTCAGTGTTGCCATGTCAGTAATAGCATTTTACCCGGTTTTGTGAATATTTTAATTTGTGCTGGTTTTCAATATTTTGTTTCGATATGTCCTGTTCGATTTATCGCGTTTTTTTACGATATTGAATTATCGATATCGCTATATCATCGACATCGATAACTATCGATATTTTTAGGTGTCGATATATCGATATTTATCGGTTTTCCGATATATCGTTGCATCCCTAGACATCACCCGAAACTCTTTGATCTATCTCGCCTCTTTTCATTTTGCTGTCTTCTTTTAAGCTCAGTTCCTTTCGATCTGGCACGCGATTGGCCATTATGGTTCCGGTTCCGTGAAAACCAAGCTGCGATAACGTATCAAGTAGAGGTACGGTCGTAAAATACCTGTCGAAAAAAATGCAGCTTCCGCGTGGGACACTTCGTATGAGCCGAAGAACAACTGCAGGTCTAAGGCCCAGTGGATGAGCAAGTACAGGGTTATTGCCGTAATATATCTCAAAATCAACCATCAGCCCTTCACTGGTTGTGACGACAAAATTTTTTAAGCCAACGAGCCGAGGCTTGTTCTTAACCAGCTGCCGAAGATGACATTTTCCTGTGAATGGAATCATTTGCTCATCCACTGAATACCTACCTGGAGCTCGCAATATCTTTTCACAGCCATTTTTAACGGCTGTGAGAACTGGTTGTATTTTCCAGAGAGGATTTCCTGCATCTCTTGCTCGCACAGTATCCGTATCAACAACATGTAAATTATTTCGCAAAACAGAAAATCTGTCTCTTGTCATTGCAGAAGTTATTATATTGATGCTTATATTCCTGCGCCAGTACATGGCATATCTAGGATAAGAAAGAATACCCATCAACAGATGAATTCCATACAACCCTTTAATTTCCTGTTTATTAGTATTTAAAACTTTGCCGGTATGTCTCATGTATAATAGAGATTAGTACAGAGAGCCATGTTATCAAAAAAATCCTCATCATAATATGCACCAAAATATTCGACTGGTGATTGAACTTTGTCCGGTTTAGGATGGCCGGGATAATTATGAGGCTTATCAATATAATCATTTTTTTTCAAATGCGTCGACGTTGTCCAATCTTAACTTTTAATTGTGTGTTTTGTTTAGGTTTCTTTTTGAATTTCCTACATTTCTTCTGTTTATTTGTTTTTGATGGACCATCACCTTCATGGTCTTTACGAACTAAACTAGAATAACTCTTTTTTGAGTCTGGTGAGAGAGGAGATTCCTTTTCATGGGCATCATCTTCAGTAGCACCTGGTTGTGGACAAAAATCCTCGTCGGCCTCATCGATATCAATATCCGAGCATTCCCCGTTATTAAGTAGGTCAAGTACAAGCTCACAATTCAATGGCATACCTAAAAAATATAAAAACAGCCATTTAACCTTAATAAAAACAGTAAATGTAGGCAACTCATTTTTGTGAGGAGGTATAAATAAACCCGAGACCTCACGTAAGTGAGTTCCTTATTTTGCCACTAACCAAATGGGCCGATACTTTAAGTTAGGTGAAGACGTTGATACTAATTGATTTATAGATCAATAAAAATGAAAATAACACATGTACATGAACAAATCAATCAAAAAAAAAGATGTAAATAATACGAGTACAAATACTTACGACGCTTAGTATCGGGATCGAGAAACACCGCCATTTTGGTCGCACGTGCGACGACACTGACCCCTGAATGCCGCTAAAATAATTTTTTAATTGGTTATTTGACCAACGCACGATTATGTAGTTTCGGGCGCGTGCGACCAAACAGATTTCCCGCGCTTACATATTTTTATTAAGATTATTTAATAAGTAGATTGTAGATGTAGTTAAGGATCTATATTTATTAATTATTTAGCATTATAGCATATATATATATATATATATAATTGTTCAACTGTGCCAATATTTGTACAGAGTTGTTAAATATTAAGTATTGTTAGTTGTATATAGACAAATAGTAATGTATAAAATTTTACTAAATGTTTCATTTGTTGCTTGGTTGGAAAAGTAGAGTAGTGTGGTGTGACTATTCATTTTACAAGGTTTTTACTACTTTGCAATGTTTGTATGTTAGATCTCACAAGTTTTTGTTATGTTTTTGATGAGATTGTTTATAAAACATTGATTAATAAAACAGTCTACATAATTATAGAGATGACATTTTAATTTTTTTATTGTGTTTCACCATTCACCTGTGCTAGTTAACTTAATTGAGGTCAGCGGCGTATGTGGTACTTTCCTTTCATACTCTTTCAGCCATCATCTTAGTATCTACACTCGCACCCCATTCGGGATGTCTTATTAAAATAAAAAATAGTCAAAACATGTGTTATAATAATAAGAATTGTTTATTGCCTCTAAAAACACACAGTTACATAAGATTAAAACAAAAGAATATTATAATTATTGGAGACAAAAGGAGACGGCTCAGCTTTGTCTGTAACGAGATACAGATCTGGTACAGAGCTGTTTTTCAGCCGCTCCCTCCTCCCTGTTGTGCGGGAGTCCAAAGTTGCAGGCTCCCCATTTACCTGACTTATACTTAAAAACTAAACTACGTACAAGGTAATTAAATGTGATAATATTTTGCAAATATAAAAAAAAGACTAAAAACATTAAAGACAAAATAAAACAATTAAAAATATGCATAAAAACAACCATTACAAAATAAACTAACACCAGATTAAATAAAAAAAATGAAACCAACACGGGAAATAGAAAATATACATAATATAACTCTTTTATTTTATTAGAACTACTTGAATAATAACTATCTAGGTACATACACTGAACTATCTACTTATTAAGTAACAATATTAAACTTTAAATAAACTAAAAATAGTATCAGTACTAAAAATAACTCTTATTAGTACTAAATTTAAAAGTCTTTAAAGCTGTTGAAATTAAAGTATTTCTAACATTATCTTAAACTAGTTTTTTATGGACGAATTTCAATAGTAGCGGATATCTAACCGTGAGGTCTCGGATTTGATACCCGGGTTGGGCAGTGTTATTGGGTTTTTCCATTAGAAATTTCTCCATATTAGCTTGGAGTCGGAGTTTGTGTATCTCTTATTGCTCCGTATTGTCCTTACTCCGATAGTGGTCAAACCACGCTTGCGCAATGTCTGCAAACATGCGTAACACTTGATTACGCTCGTGGTCAACCTCTATCCTTCGGGTTTCCAGCTCATACAGCTGCCTGTCTCGTGTCTCCTCCTGCCGAAGACGTAAATGTTCGATGGCAACGAACTCACTCGTCGCTCTATCGAATGGTGTGAGTGTACGCCTCCGGCGAGCCCTTAGAGAGGTTTGTGTGGGGGAAGCAGTTATCCCAGACCTCGGGGTTGGTGGGAATTGTCGCCTGCAGGTCGGCGGAGGGGTAGAAGGTGCAGGTTGCACTCTTGAACTCCTCATGGATTGGTCTTGCGATGTTGACTGTGTGAAGGTGTGCGGTGGCTGCCAGCTGCAAGATGGTGTAGGAGTAGTGGGCGCGGGTGGTGATATTGCCACAGACTCTGTAAACAAAATGAACTTGAGTTCAAATACCTACTTAATAAAGTATTTATAAAATATTAAAATATTTAGTAGTTTGTAGCTAGACATACGATTGGCTGTTGTGATTTCACAATCAATTGTGTGTTGTTGGTGCGTGGCTGGTGGTGGACTCAGGGCCAGAGTTGGCGAGGAGATGACTTGTGATAGTCCCTGCAAAAAATGACTTGAAATCTTAATTTAACTAATACCTAACCATAACATATCGTATAAAACCTCCTGTGATATTACTCATTTCATTAAACTAGGTACTAGGCATTTGATTAATTTTCCATTTGACTATTTTAATTAATTATATGTTATTTTATTAATTAAATACATGTTTTAAATATTCAAGTGATCAGTTAACCCTGAATTTTAAATGAAGAAGTGCGATACTTACAAAGCCTTGTTCCTGAATGCTTGGCAGACCATCCACAGTCAAATTCCCCATGATGGCCAACATCCTCTCCTCAAAAGCCGTGAGGGTTTGGCGAATACTTGGCCCACCACCAGTACCACTTGCATGACGCCTTATTAGCGATGCTTTTTTTTGTTTTAGACTTCCAGTCGGCCCATGCCTTCGAAATTAATTAAACAATATGTAGGAAATTTAGGTAATAAGTAATAATAGTGTATATTAATAGTAAATGGTTAATATAAATAAAGTAAAGCATAAAGTGATTATTACCAAATATATCTTACGTGGTAGAGCCATGCTGCAGCTATATTAGTAGTATAGTTGTAGCACGAATGGGTCGGCTCGACCGGGGAAGGACCACGCTTTCACAGAAAACCAGCGTAAAATAGCAGCTTAACGCTGCTGTGTTTCGTATGGTGAGTGTAGAGAACCGGAGACCCTTTTTACTGGCAAAGAGGCATTCCATGTTAGTCCTCACGGGTGACAACGCATCTTGAGTCTATTCAGGATAGATGTAGATGTCTATGGGTCACAGTAACTACTTACCATCAGGTGGACTGTGTGCTCGTTTGTCACCATATCCTATAAAAAAATATAGCTGTTGAATTTGTTACCTTTTTCCATTTGTCTGCCGATTTATTTACTCCACCACCGATGGAGTTTAATATTACCGCCAACTCGCACCACAGCCGTTCGGATTTCAAGCGCCCTTGAGGCCCACATCGGGGATTGGATAGATCGCCGTGACTGCAATTGAAGAAACAATAGGGCAATAAGCAACGGATTGTTAACATCACGTCATTGTTTACATTGAACATACTCAAGTCATTTGAATTTAATTAAGTTCATGGTTTAGATGAATACTTCTTAACCTTTCCATGAACTCCAAAAGGGTCGAAAATTGTTGACCACTGGCTCGCACTCGTGGATCCATTGTAATTATCCTTAAAAACGGAAAAAAGCTTGTCAGTTCCCGCTTGTTTATCGTTATAAATATGTAATATACTCACAATCATTGATATCCAGTAAACTTGTGTAATTTTGGCACTCACAATAATTTTACGAAGTTAAGAAACTTACCTATGAATTCTTTACTTAACTAGTTAATTCAAAACGCTAATAATACTTCACTTTTACCGAGCAAACTTTAATCTACAAGTACACTTTGTTTCACAACCTAATAAGAAGTGGTTTGTTAATTTGTTTATATTTAGCGCGCCTTGAATTTGACGTTTCATTTCGAGACCATTGTCAAAAAGTTGTTTTTATCGAAAGAACGTTTCGACTTAGCGTTAGGTTTGCCGATGTCACTTTGTCTACCACCTGTCGTTCGATATCGCTAAGACGAAATCGATTTTCGGAATGGATTAGACACGGAGCGAATGTCACTTGTCTAGGCCCTCTGAAAACAAAGGGAAAAGTTAAAAGAAGTAGTAAATTAATCACACTCACACCATACATAGATGACAAGGGCTTGTTACGAGTTGGTGGCAGATTACAATCAGCTAATATATCACAAGATTATAAACACCCAATAATTATTCCAAAAAATACTCACCTGGGATATTTGTTGATTAGAGATGCACATGAAAGAGTGATGCACGGAGGAACTTCTTTAACAATCAACTACCTAAAAAGCAAATATTGGATAATAGGTTTAAAACAGTCAGTGAAAAAATACCTCGGTAAATGCGTTACATGCACTAGATACAATGCCAGAAAGCAACTACCAATTATGGGTGAACTTCCGAGTGTAAGAGTAACCCCTGGAAGAGCTTTTGAGTGTTGTGGTGTAGATTTTGCCGGACCTATACAGATGAAAGTGTCAAAGGGTAGGGGACAAAAATCTTATAAAGGATACATCTCATTGTTTGTATGTATGAAAACAAAGGCTATACACTTAGAAGTTGTAAGTGACCTTACCACATCTGGATTCATTGCAGCATTTCGACGATTCGTGTCACGCAGGTGTCACTGCGCTGAAATGTGAAGTGGCAATGGTTTGAACTTTGTTGGCGCTGCAAATGAGCTTACAAGAATGCTTAATCAAAGCATGACGAACTTATTAAAGGAGATAGCAGAAATGCTTGAAAGTGATGGAACTTCTTGGCACTTTATTCCCCCAATATCACCAAACTTTGGAGGTCTATGGGAATCGGGTGTGAAATCTGTTAACCCGTGAGAAGGCGCGCCTAATTTTCTTACACGAGTAGGTGCGCGCGAGCAATTTGCTCACACTATCATAAATGTTCATATTTTTAGTGTTTCTATATTTATTGCTTATAATGTATTTAAATAAGTAACACAAGGTTTAGTAAGTAAGAAAACAAGTATTTTAATCAAAACTATTGAACATAATAGCAACTTCTAACGCAAATAACAAAACAACCTAGTATTAATTAAATTTTTTGACACGTTTCATAAAAATCACAATAAAAACTGTTACATAACAAAAACTAAAAAGTGTTATTCATCTATTAAATCTACACTAATGTGCCTCTCGAAACACACTGAACACATGTATTTTACATGTTCGGTGCAAAGTAATTGCTTGCACGAAGTACATGGTTTTTTTGACCTTCTATTTTTACGTCTAGGACATATTGCACAAAATCCGCTTGGTCCTGGCTCCGCAACAGGCACAGGAGCCGGCACAAATTGCATCATTAGAAATTTGAGATCTGAGGATATGATCTGCATGCGAATCCGGCGTGAAATATGTGGTTTCACCAGCTCGAGAGCCACCTCTTTCAAGAATGTTCGTCTCTCAATCAGAGTGTTTGTGTTGGCTTTGTATATTATTTGGGCATTGATCCCAGTTATATTCAAAATGGAGAAGAATAAGCGCATTGGCCATCTTGATGTGATTCTGGCAACGGAATAATCCTCTTTTTTTGATCTACAACATCTACGCCTCCTTTTGTGGAATTGTAAAATGTTACAATCTCAGGTTTAGCTTCACTTCCAGTTTCTTGGTCTATAGCGTCGTCATTGTGAATTGTTGATAGCATAAGGACAATCTTCTTTGTTTTTTTCTTTGGCACATATGATAAGATTATCTTATCTTCACCGAAAACAAAAATTGAACTTGGCATTGGCCTATCCTTTGTTGACAAAAAAGAAGGCGGAATCTCTTTTTTATTTTTTCGCAGTGTTCCCACCGCAGTTGTTCTGTAGGTGTTTTTCAGTTCATCAAACAACGGTATGGATGTAAAATAATTGTCCATAGTTAGATTTCTTCCCGTGTTTAATATGGGTTGTGCAATTCTCTTCACTACATCAGCAGCGGAGTTACTCAAACTGAATGGCCCTGCGGGTTATTTCCCGGCGTAAATCTCCAAATTACTTGTGTAGAAGGTTTTGGAATCTACAAGTGCATAGATTTTGATGCCATACTTTGCGGGTTTGTTGGATATATAAACTCTAAATTTACAGCGGCCTCTGAATGATTCCAACATTTCATCCACAGTGCAGTATTCCCCGGGTGTGTAATTTTGATTACAATGAGCAACAAAGCTTTCAAAAATTTCTCGGATTGGTGCCAGGTGGTCTTTTTCCTTTCTGTTATCACGAGTATTTGTTATCGAATCGCAAAACCCGTAACAAAAATAAAAATCTTTTTACTGACATGGTTGCTCTAAAAAAATCACATGCTGTTCCATCATCTAGCCACATTTCTTTTACATTTAAATGACAGACCTTTTTCAAGCCCGCCATGTACAAAACTCCGATCAATGCTTTTATTTCAACTGCATCTGTAAGTTTGCAATCCCGTTCACGTGAAAACTTTTCTTGTAGTTTAGTTATGTACACATTCGTGTACAGGACTATTTTGTCTATCATGGTATCGTCCACAAACAATGAGAAACATTTTAAAGGTTCTTTGGCATTCTTAGCTACATTTTTTACTCCTGGCAGGTGGATAACTATGTTATAACTCCTAGTACGTACGTTACGTAAAGGCTTGTGGATAAGCCATTTTGTGGAACGATCTTTGCCAATATAGTATGGGATCCTACCTCTTTGTTGTTGAGTCGCGGGAGTAAAAATATCAGCATCGTTTTCATCCGACGATTGCTCCGTATCAGTTTCATGAGGACTACGGATGACAGAACTATCGCTTTCTATGGTGTCAACACGATATTGTTCCCCATTTTCAAGATCTGCATCCAATTCATCACCAGAATCCTCTTCCAACCACGAACGAATTTGTGCTTGCATTCGATCGTCCATTTTGTATCTGTAGTATAGCTAGAAGAAAAATAAAAGTAATAACATTATTACTAAAGAGTTTTTACATGATAATCAACTAATATAAATCAAACAAATAATAATAATAATAATTTATTTTATTTCTACACCAGGAGCTCGCTCTGAAATACGGCCTCGTGGATCGGAAACTGCCGTATTATAAGTACTCGCCGGAAGCCGTGCTCGAAAATGACCGCGCCAGGCTCTACTGGGACCGGGCCATCATCACAGACAGGACTATTCTTGCGAATAAGCCTGATATTGTGCTGATGGACCGGGCACAGTCAAGGATCTTTTTGGTCGACATTACCATTCCTTATGACGAGAACCTCGTGAAAGCCGAAACAGATAAGGTGACAAAATATCTGGACCTGGCTCACGAGGTTACCGGCATGTGGGGTGGTCTGCCGACCGAAATTATTCCTGTAGTCGTTTCTGCGAACGGGTTAATCCCAGTCAGCCTCCCGGGTCATCTGAGGCGACTGGGACTCCGTGACGGACCGCTCCAGGCTCAAATGCAGAAGGCGGTGCTCCTCGATACCGCCCGCATCGTCCGCCGGTTTCTTTCCCTTTCCCCCTAACCCTCGGCCGTCTGGTCTCCCCTGCCGAGGGCTTCCATCTGGTTGGGTTTTTATATATTTATGTATTTTTTATGTATTTATTTTATTTTATTCATATTTATGTATGTTTACCATTTTCATTTACAATTATATATTTATACTGCCCAACCAGATGAGAAAACTTTATAGATACCCCAAAATGAAAATAATTTAATAATAAGAAATAATATGGCAGAAATAACAATCTAACTTTTTAAATCACAAAAATAAATACTTACACGGATGGGCGCGTGATGAGCAAATTGCCGCACGTTGGTACACGGCCTCCACAAACGCCTTGCTGCGCGGTCGCAACGCCACTGAGCGGATCGAGAATTGCATCGGGGGAGAGGGGGTGAATATTTAGGAAGGTACTTAAGTGCTTGAATTTGTGTGGCAAGGGAAAGACAAAAAAATTTTGAATTAAATTTTTGTGTGAGCAAATTGCTCAGAGCGCGCCTTCGCACGAGTTAAGGCACATCTGATGAAGATAATTGGCAACGCGTCACTTACCTTCGAAAAATTTTCTACGGTCCTTTGTCAGATCGAAGCGGTTCTGAACTCACGTCCGATTAGCAGTCTGAGTGATGATCCGAACGATACCTCTCCATTAACTTCAAGTCACTTTTTGGTAGGAGAACCTTTAATAGTGATACCAGAACCTGACCATTACTGATACCATAAGTCCTCTCCAACGTTGGAAACTGACACAACGCATGATAAGAATCTTTTGGACTAGTCCAAAGAATATTTGAATACCTTACAACAAAAACACAAATGGCACACAAAGGTGGATGTACCAAAGGTCGGCGATTTGGTCGTAATAAAAGAAACAGACCTCCCTCCAGCGAAATAGTTATTGGGACGAATAACACAGCTTCATCCTGGACCCGATGATCAAGTCAGGGTAGTAAGCTTGAAGTGCAGAGGATCGACCCTGAAGCGTCCTGTATCTAAGCTGATCCTGTTGCCATGAAGAAGGACGGAGTCCTTGGTGGGCGGGATGTCGGCGAGTTTTTACCTTCTATGAACAGATGGCGCTAATTGTTACTTAATTCGCGCTATACGAAGCGGTTTCTCTGTATCATAATATTGTTGTTTTTTAAAGTATAGTCAGTTCTTTATTACAGATTGATACCTTCAAATAGTGTTTAATTTAGTCGCTAATTCATCGGAACAGGCACTGTTAGAACTTTACTGACGATTTGCAATATAGACTCCGAGACGTAGTGTTACATTGTGCCCTGTTATCATCTTCATCTTATATTTTAGCACAGTAGCAAATATTTCTAACTTTGCCAAATGGAAATAATATTGATTCACATTCTTTAGTGTGGGGTTGCAAAACCATGAAAAAAGCATCGACTGGGTGCTGTGTGAGTACTGCGTTGGCTTGTATATTTATATATATATATACTAGCTGGCTAGGCAAACGTTGTTCTGTCCTCTCCGACGACCCTGTGTCCTATAAAAATGATTAAATTCGTAATAAAAAATTTTGACGGTCACTTAGACACACATAGAGATAAAAACTATCCTATCTCTCAAGTTGGTAAAAACTGCCTACAGTGTGCAAATATAAATCACATCGAAGGTGCAAAACTCGCCCCTTACACTATCAGGATAGGAATAAAAACTTTACGGGCTGTGTTTGACAGTAGTGCAGAATGTTCAGTTATACGGGAATCTGTAGCCGCAGCTCTCCCTGGACAAAGAGTTCAAACAGCTAACTACTTGAAAGGTATTGGACGATTTCCCGTATTATCACTCACGAGTTTACTGACTATATATGTCATAGATAGATGTGTCGTAGAAATTCAGTTTTATGTTCTGGCTGACTGTGAGATGTCGACGGAAATTTTGGTGGACATGAATTTGATTAAAAGCACAAACTTGAGTGTTATAGTAACGTCTAGCAAAACAAAATTACTGCACCAAGGGCTTATCAATCATATCACTACAAATAGTCCAATATTTGGAAAACTAGACTGTGATCTTTCAGAGCCTGAATAGATCAAACAACTTCGCATACTCCTGAATAAATATGAACACTTATTTATTCGAGGATACCCTAAAACCCAAGTTAACACAGGTATGTTGGAAACGAGATTAAAGAATCCGGACAAATACGTAGAACGAAGACCATACCGCCTCAGTCCAGTGGAGAGAGAAAAGGTTCGTACCATTATCAACGAATTACTGAAGCACACTATTATACGTGAGAGCAAATCCCCATACTCTAGCCCAATTATCCTAGTTAAAAAGAAGAATGGAGATGACCGAATTTGTGTAGACTTATGTTTATACCTTGCGGGGGACCATTACCCACTTCCACTCATCTCCGACCAAATCGATCAACTGGTCAATGGACTCTACTTCACCACATTTGATATGGCGGCAGGTTTCCATCAAATACCTATTTCGGAGAGTTCCATAGAGAAGACTGCATTCGTTACGCCTGGTGGGTTATACGAATACCTTACTATGCCATTTGGTTTATCCAACGCGTGTGCAGTGTACCAAAGATGTATCAATCGAGCATTGTTTTCGTTACTGGGCAGTGCTGCTCAAGTTTACGTCGACGATGTCTTGAACAAAAGTGCTGATTTTACTGAAGGACTAATAAACATTGAAAGCATTCTCATAGCATTACATAAGGCTGGGTTTTCTATCAATGCCGATAAGTGCAGCTTCTTCCAACGCTCAATAGAATCTCAAACGTTGGACAACGTTACCCAAATATTCCAAAGAAAGTTGAAGCTCTAGTCAAGGCACCAGTACCGAATACTGCTAAAAAGGTAAGAGAGTTCAATGGTTTAACTGGATATTTTCGGAAATTTATCCCCGACTTTTCCCGTATAATGATACCCTTGTTTGAGTTGACTAAACAAGGTGCTAAATGGGAGTGGAATGATCGACATGAAGAAGGACGTAATAACATAATCCAATGTCTGACATCATCTGTGTTAACAATATTTCAAGAAGAAGTACCAATAGAATTATAAACGGATACAAGTAGCTTGGGATCCGGTGCCGTTCTAGTACAAATAATCAACAAACTTCAACATGCAATCGCCTTCATGAGTATGAGAACTACTGTTACTGAAAGCAGACATCACTCGTACGAGCTAGAGACCTTGGCGGTAGTGTGTGCAATAAAACATTTTCGACAGTACCTGTATGGACGGAAATTCAAAATTATAACCGATTGCAATGCCTTAAAGGCATCTAAGCACAAAAAGGATCTCCTCGCAAGAATTCATCAGTAGTGGGCGTTTTTACAGAACTATGATTTTGAAGTAGAATACCGCAAAGGAAATCGCCTGCAACACGCCGACTTCTTTAGCAGAAATCCAAGTAGTTTTGATGTTAACATAATGACAAGAGACCTGGATTGGTAGAAGGTGGAACAACGTAGAGATGAGACATTGTGTCGCCTGATGGACAGCTTCAACAACGGAAATTCAGTAGATGGTTACCTTCTAGAAAACTAAGTTTTAAAACGAATAGTGAGAGACCCAATTTTTGGACAGCAAATCTGTGTTGTAGTTCCTAGATCTTTCCAGTGGAGTATAATAAATTAATTTCATACATCGCTTAAACACCCTGGATGGGAAAAGACTCTACATAAGATCAAAGAATCTTACTGGTTTGACAAAATGAGTACCCTGGTGCGCAGGATTGTGGACAACTGTATCGTGTGTAGAACATCAAAAGGAACATCGGGCACTGTACAAGCTCAACTACATCCAATCCAAAAGCCAACTACAGCCTTTCAAGTGATACATATGGATATCACTGGCAAAGATTCAAGAAAGAGAACACATCCTCTAGTGTTGTCAAGATTCTATCTGACCACTTGAAAGCCCCTGGTATTACCACTGATTTAATAGGCCGGTCACATCGTCTTGGTCAACCTGGCACTGATAAACCCCGGGCTGTGCTTGTAGAATTTAGAGACTATGGGACAAAAGAGAAGATATGGCTTGCAAAGAAAAATTTGAAAGGCACAGGGATTACATTGTCCGAATTTCTTACAAAGGGTCGACATACTACATTCCAAGCGGCGCGCCAACGTTTTGGAGTTTCAAGGTGCTGGACGAGGGATGGCATCATCTTCGTACTAGGACCTGATCAAGTACGCCATCGTATCCATTCTAGGCTTGATCTTGATGCTATTTCGACCTCTGAATCGGTGACTCAAGCCACATCTGCTGTAACCTCGGTTCCAAGTGTGGTGAAAAACTCCAGGTCTGCTCAAGTAAGAACCAAGAGAATTGGTAAAAAATGAATCCTTTTTTTTGAGCTGGTTAAATCTGTTGTATCTCGTGCGACTACCGTATTTCTGGTTTGTTTACATTCTTCTATTGTAAAAATTTTTAATTTATTTTTATTAATATATATCACCATTTTTCTTTTATATTTTCGATGTGAGGTAGTTGGTAGTAGGAGAGAGGGAAAAAAAAGAAAGAGCATTTCAATGTAAACAAACAATAAGTGAATTGACATGACATTGGATAACAGTTGCACATTTTTATTTCTTTCTTCGGCGTAGGCAAAGGTCTCATAGTCATACAGCCGTACCTTATGGTATTTTTGCCTTCTACATTTCATGTTTTTGTTTTTTTTTCTCTTTTCTTATCACAAAGCAACATTTCTATAACAGTTCTCTTTGTGCTTATTACATATTTTTATTTGTAAAATGCTATTTGTTTACAGTTTTTGGTAGTTTTGTTTTGTTTAAAAATTGTCTCTTTTTATTTCAGTTATTCTGAAACATCTATTATTATTATTATTATTTTTGTTTCATCTCTTTCAGACTGCTGGCGGGATAGAGATCTGTTTAGGTACTTACTTATATATTTAATTTAACTATTTAGTTTTATATTTATATATCATATACAGGGTATTTTTGGAACGCTCCCGAAAACTAAGACAGGCGACAACACCAAGTACACCTTTGATCATGGGTCACAAATAAATTCGATCCTGATGAAAAAAAAATCAACTTTTTACACCGTTTTATTAGCTTTATTCACGCGCCATCATGTTAGTACAGCTAAATGAAACGATAATTTCATAAAATATATCATGAAAATACTGAAACATAAAACCAGCAGTGGAATGACTGAATTTATATCACCTGACTGAAAGGTCAATGTACGCGCGAACGCAAATTCGCGCGGCCCGCAACTAGCGGGCCAAACCACAATATCTAATAATTTACAACACTTGTCTAAATACCTTACTTATCTACTTAACCTACTATTTTGCCACTGTGCTTGTCTCCACTTAGCCACTTTAATCCGAATTTACAGGTTAAATAACCCAAATAACTGGTTCGATTCCCCGCTAATGAAAAAATACTTAAATGAAATGTAACCAAAGTTGGAGTCATGAGTTTTTATTCATCGTGTATGTTTATTATTCTCATGTATTCAGTTATGTACCTATTCAGATTAGTCTAGTACTAAGTTATTTAAAAAAAAATAGGTATGAAACAGCTTACCGCTCTAAATCCTCCGTGGTCTTATGAGATGCGGCTCAAATTGTGCTCCATTCATTTCAAGGTAGATTTGGGTGCAGGCGGGGCATCATCGTGTGGTCTTCGACACAGTCCGTACGTAGTTTCTCGAAACCATCCACGATCCTTTGGCGCATTTCTTCAGCACTATCACATTCACGATTAAAAACCCTTTCTTTTACATACCCCACAAAAAGAAGTCTAACGGAGTCAGATCTGGTGAGCGAGGTGGCCAAGCGTGTGGTCCTAGTCTGCCGATCCAGCGATCATCAAATAACTCATTGAGGCGCTCACGGACGAACCTCACGAAATGTGGAGGGGCACCATCATGTTGGAACCATGTGCGGCGATATTCAGCCAACGATAGGTCGTTTAAAATGTCAACCAACTGTTCATTTATAAAGTTTAGGTATCGCTGTCCGTTCAGTCGCTCTGTCAGAAACACTGGTCCCAGTATGCGATCCTTAAATAAACCTGCCCATACGTTAACCGACCATCGGGTTTGGTGCCCGGTTTGTCGAACAGCGTGCGGGTTAACCTCTGAATACACGTGTGTATTTCTTCGGTTCCACAGGCCGTTTCTGGTAAATGTCGACTCATCCGTCCAGATAATGTGCTCAATGGAACCAGGCACACGTTGTTGCTGGTATAATAACCAACGGCAGAAAACTCGTCGGCGGTCGTGATCGCCGGGAACTAAAGCTTGCACTTTGTGCAATTTGTATGGGCGCATTGGTTACGCTTCAACACTTTGTGCACTGTACAGTATGACACACTTGTACGATCCCGACGTCTTAACAATTTATTTAGCGATACTTCGTGTACCTAGGTTCGGATACCTAACATGTTGACCACTATAAACGTACGCGTTAGGCATTATTAAAACAAAAAAGAATCCAAAAACGTAACAAAAACTTTAATATCAACACGTAATCACAAGTAAATTTATTAAACAAAACGATTGAACTGTCGCTCGCGCACGCGTGTACAAAATCAACACGGAACTGTTTCAAAAACTACAATTAATAACGAACCCCGACGAATAAACGGAAACCTACTGCGTCACAGCGTGACGACACGAGCCGGCCGGGTTACATTCTGCGAGGCGACATGAGCCGGCCGGGTTACATTCTGCCGTCATACGAAATAAAGAAGTACGCAACTAACAAAAACGTAAAATGGAAATAAAAAATAAATTTATGAATTTTTCTTTCAGACCCCGTGTCTAAAGTATATTAAAAGGTATCTATATGAAAATTGAAATATGTACGTAGAGACATGAAGATTTTAAGGACGAACTTATTTTTTGATAATTTGTTTATTTATTTAAATAAAACGAATTTTCCTTTTCATCTTAGATTAAAAAATACACCTGGCAACACAAAAACATCGAAGGAAAGACGCATATAACTATTTGCGTCTTCCCAACCTAATAAATAAAAAAAACTGCCATTCATTTAACATTTTTACATATTTTGGAAAGGTAATTTGAAGTTGAAAGGACGCTAATAGTAATTTACTACTTTTTTCTTAGTAAATATTAGAAAAGCATTGGTAGTCAGACACAAAAAATAACAACCCGCAACTCTTGAGTAATGATTTTAAAGGGGATATCATACAAGACTTACTACGATAATAATTAAAAATTTTGTACAACCGACTTTAATATAAATAATTAAGGATGACTCAAAAACTATTGGTCTGACCTCGATCAAATTTATATGGGACCACATGTGAAACACCAGCTCTTAGTAATAAGATATAAGCTCTTAATAATAAGATATAGAATAAAAAGACAAGAATAATTGAAATTTAAGTAATCGATGCAAATATTGTTAAAGATGACGTAGCCACTGGTTAAATAAGTCTTTTCTTTTATGTTGAAGTCTTTTCTAATAAAAAGATGTCATCTGTGATCAACAGTTACGTCTAAAATCCTTACGATAATTTCTAAAATATTGATATTTGTGAATATTAAAAAAATTTAGTAGATGCGCCTTCTTATCATGAGTCATGGTATATTTAACTCATTTATTCAAAAATTGTTAGATGCGCCCTTTTTTCTTCCGACCGCATACCATTGTTTCGTACCGAGCTAGATACAGGTCGACAGCGGAGGAAGTGTGGGTACAGTCGCGTTCTAAAGTACTACATGGTATTGGGCTATTGTTTTATAATATTATAGTAATTAATTGTTTAATTGTGGAATCATAATAGGTGTTTTACTATTTACTTAGAACTT